CATCACATATTGTCACCATTTCCACTAAATCTTTTAGATTTTTTCCATAGGTGTTTCCAAGTCCCTATTTGATAATTCCAACATCATGTCTATTTACTGTCTTTCCTTGTTTTTGTTTAAATAATAAGCTGCATTTACTCTGGCTTTGTAGTAGTGTCTCAAGTCTGGAAAGGTTATGTCTTCAGCTTTATTGTTTTTCCTTATTATTGCTTTGGCAATTCTGGGTGTTTTGTGATTCCTTATAAATTTTAGGATAATCCTAGTTCTGTGAAAAATGTCCTGGATAATTTGATAGGGGTCGCATTAAATCTGTAGATTGCTTTGGGTAGTATGGCTATTTTAATAATATTAATTCTTCCAATGCGAGAGCATGGGATAGGTTTCCATTTCTTTAAATCATCTTCAGTTTCTTTTATCAGTGTTTTATTTTGTAATTCTCAGCATGTAAGTCCTTTACCTCCTTGGTCAGGTTTATTCCTAAGTATCTTATTTTTTTATGTGATTTTTAAAAGGGATTTTTTTTTCTTATTTCAGTTTTAATATAATTTAGTTCACCACTGGGTTCAGATACTTGAGGACAGAATCAGGATGGATGCGGATTCCCTCTGTGGCTGGTGCTTTTTGGGATTCTAATCTGTCATTGCGGCCAACGAGTGGCTGCTGTCTCCTTACTCTGTAACTGATTCTGCTACCTCTCAACTCTGTTAGGGACAAGGGCAGCTATGGGTCTCAACCCTCCTGTGAGAGGCTTGTTACTTTATAGGATTCAATTTATTCAGATTCCTGTGACCTCTAGTTTCTGATGGATTGAAAAAATAATTTTATAGATTATGTAGCTTATTTTGGTAGTTTGATAGCAAAGTGATGATCTCTTGCAACTTTAACTTGAATCAGAAGTCCAACTACTGTAACACTTGATAGAGCATTTTCTTTTTTTGACCAGCTGTATACTTTACCTCTGCAGCTCCCTAGGTTCTCAACTATGGATGGCCTCTGGCATCCTGACCAAGGAAGGTTCCTATTACTTGGTCCCAAGGGTTATTTTGGTAGAATTGGGGAATTGACCATATTGTTGCCTCTTCAAATTTTTCCTGGAGATTTCTGGCTTTTGTGAGCCCCAACTTTACCCTTGTTTTTTGTTTTTAAACTTTGACATCAGTTTTCTTTGGTTTGCCCAAAATCTATTCACTGCCAATAATTAAAACTGAAAATAGTTGAGGGTTCTAAACTTTTGTTGTCACAGTGGATCTCAACTCACTAGTGGTCTTATGACTTATACTGAGCAACAATTTCACTTTTTATTTTAGTGCCTTTTAGAAATTCTCTTTGTCCAGAAGCAGTCTTTGAATTACTTTGTATAGCATATAAATTTCTTGCAGTTCCTTTTTCTATCTGATACATGCTTGTATTATCAGCTCGTCCCCTCTGGTATCCTGAATCCAGTACACTTTCAGCTCCTCTGGGATCTTCAATCAATTGATCAAACAACTTTTCACTATTCCTGACTCCCTTGAAATGTATTATTCCCTTCTTACTCAGCTTAAGTTTCATGGTCAAATATTATAATCACTTCCTTGCACACACCTTGAGTCTCCTCTCCTGCTTTTTTCCTCACTTGCTAGTATTACCTTGACAATACCATAGTACTGGTTCAATGTTCCCAGTCAGGATGTCTTGTCTCCCTTAAATTTATAATCATAAACCTCATAGACTTCATGGACACTACCCTGCAATCATTCCATGTTTCCCTCATTGATTCAGTTGCCCTGTTCTATGACAACTATGTACATATTTTGTTCCCTTCTGAAACTTGAGTGTTGATATTACCTCCTATTTCACTATGAAAATTAAAGCAGATCATAAAGGAGCCTGCTACTGGTTCACACTGCTATATTTACCCTCCTCTGTTGTATACTCTAGATTTTATCAAGGATGTTTTCCCAGCCTTTTCCCTACTTACTCCTATATTATAAAATTTTCTTGTGCAAATGGAACATTTAAAAGACATACAGATAAGTTTTATTCTTCCATTAGAAACATTTTCTTGACCCCCATTTCTTCTACCTGTCACTGATTCATTTCTTTGCTCCTCTTTTTAAGCAAAATTCCCCGAGACTATCAACAACCACAGTTGTCTTTAATCCCTCTTTTCCAATTCTTCTGGCTGCTATCCGGCTTTAGCAGTTTTAAAACATTTCAACTAAATTTGTCAAATCTCTCTTGACTTTCACATAATAAATCTAATAGTTAATTTCACATCTTTATCTTATGTGACCCATGAACATCATTTAACAGAGTCAGTAACATTCCTTCTTCCCTGATAGACTTTGTTCATTTGACATCTAAGAGTGTATCATCTCCTGGTTTGCCTCTGAATTTCTAGTTGCTGCTACTTCCCTTGATTTCCTAGTTCTCCTTCATCTACCTGACTTCTAATATTGATATCCCAGGCCTTAAGCCTTGGCTCTGTTTCCACGTCTAGATACACTCACCCTCTTAAAGATCACCTCCAGTCTCATAACGTTAAATATCATCTGAATGACTTGACTTCAAAATTGGAATCCCCTCTCCCCCTCCCCAGGCCTCTTTCCTAAACTCTAGACTGTTACATACATTAGACTATCCAAAATCTCCATTTGAATGCTTAATTTATATCTCAGAATTAAACTTAGTTTTTCCTAAATTGAAATCCTAGAATTTTAGACCTCTCTCTTTGACCTACACAGTTTCTCCTGCTGTCTTCCCCATCTCAACTGAGGGCAACTTTATTTTTCTACTTACGCAGAGCAAAAAATTTGGAGTGAGCCTTGCCAATTCCTTTTATCTCACATTTTAACACCTTATATGTCAGAAAAAAATCCTGTTGATTGTATCTTCAAAATGTATCTAGAATTTGATTCCTTCTCATTATCTCTACTAGAATCATTCCAGTCCAAATCATGGATGCTGCTCTTACTGGATTGCTGCAGAGTCTTCTAACTGCTTCCACTCTGGCCCTCCACTTTATTGTGAACACAGTAGCCAGAGTTGTTCTGTTAAAAATGAGTCAGATCATATTACCTCTCTGTCTAAAATGTTCTATTGTTTCCCTGCCTCACCAGAATAAAAGCTACCATTTTTACAAAAACTATAGGACACTGGTGAATAAAACTGAAGAAGATTCAAACAAATGGAAAGATATTTTGTGTTCATGGATTGTATGAATTGTAAATGGAAACATATTTCTTGTTCATGGATTGGAGGAATTAATATTCTTAAAATGTCCATACTACCCAACACAATCTATAGACTCAGTGCATTTCCTTTCAAAATTCCAAGGGCATATTTAGCAGAGCTAGAACAAATAACTCCAAAATTTGTAGAAAATCACAAAAGATCTCGAATTGCCAGAACAATCTTGAGAAAAAAGAACAAAGCCAGAAGTACCATTCTCCCTGATTTCAAACTATCCTACAAAGCTATAGTAATCAAAACCACATGGTATTGGCACAAAAACAGACAGACAGATCAATGGGATAAAATTGAGAGCCCAGAAATAAAACCTCACTTATGTGGACAACTAATTTACAACAAAGGAGAAATAAGATAAAATAGAGAAAGGATAGTCTCTTTCTAGTTGGGAAAAATGGATGGCCACATGTAAAATAATGAAACTAGATGACTATCTTATGTCATACACAAAAATTAACTCAAAATGGAGTAGAGACTGAATGTAAGACTGAAACTATAACATTTTCTAGAAGAAAACTTAGGCAATAACCTCACTGACATTGGTCTTAGCAATGTTTTTATGTTGTGGATCTGACTCCAAAGTCAAGGGAAAGAAAAGCAAGAATAAACAAATGGAGCTACATCAAACTAAGAATCTTCTGCACAGTGAAAGGAACCACCAACAAAATGAAAAGGCAGCCGACTAAATGGCAGAAGATATTTGCAAATGGTAAACCTGATAAGTAGTTAATATCTAACATAAATAAAGGACTCATACAACTCTACAAAAAAGAGCAAACAACCCAATTAAAAAATGTGCAGAGGATCTGAATAGAAACTTTTTGAAACACGCACATTAAAGGATGCTGAACACTAATTATTAGGGAAATGCAAATCCAAGCCAAATGAGATATCACTTCACACATATTAGAATGGCTATTATCAAAAAGATAAGAGATAACAATTGTTGGAGAGGAGGTAGAGAAAAGGGAACCCTTTTCTGGGGAACCCTTTTCTGGGTTGGTGAGAATGTAAATTATGGTGGAGCAACCACTATAGAAAACACTATGAGATTCCTAAAAAAATTAAGAATAGAATGACCAAATAACCCAACTGTTCCACTCCTGGGTATTTGAAGAAAATAAAAGCACTAATTTGGAAAGGTATATGCACTCCTGTGGTTATTGTAACATTGTTTATAATAGCCAAGATATAAAAACAGTCTCTGTACCTGTGTCCATCAATGGATGAATGGATAAAGAAGATGGTGTGTGTGTAAGAGACATTCTTTTTATTAGTCTGTGTATTCAAGAGATGCCCAAATATATATATATATATATTTATAATGGAATGGTACTCAGTCATGAATAAAATTCTGTCATTTGTGACAGTGTTGATGGACCTTGAATGTATTACACTAAGTGAAATAAGTCAGATGGAGAAAGACAAATGCCATGTAATTTCACTGATATATTGAATCTAAAAAGCCAAATCAAATAAAAAAAACAAAACAAACTCACTGATACAGGAAACATTCAGTGGTTACCAGAGGGGAAGATGGTTGAGAGTGGGCAAAATTGATGATGAGCATCAACTTGTATAGTGATGGATGGTCACTAGACTTATGATCACTTTGTAAGGCATGCAGATGTTGAATTATAATGCTGTATACCTGAAACTAATATAATAAAAAAAGTTTCATTGCTCTAAAGGAATTTCACTTGAACATTGGTCAGCCATTGCTTGGTAACTGAGAATACCCATATTATATACATTTATATATTTTACAGGTTTAGAGCAGTTTGTTGGAAGAATGCAAGATTTTCGATTATACCAAGTGGCACTTACAAACAGGTAAGCAGATTGTAAAATTTTATACCTGTAAAACAGGTAGTTGAGGTTCAAGAAGTAGAAGATAAATGATGAACTCATTTAAGTAAGTGTTTGGCTGACATCACCCAATTAATGTTTCCAGTGTTTGCTCTGGTTTAGTCTTTGGTTGGTATTCACTCGTGCTACTCTGTTGGGTAACTTCTCATAGTATAAAATTGATCAAATTCTTTACAAAGGATTTATTGTAAGAAAACTTTATTTTAGAACAGGTTTATTATAGAATTTGGAATACATTTGTTTACATTTTGTTGTATGTGAAGTAGTTTTTGATATGTAAGAATCTACTTCTTAAAATTGCTGTGTTGAATTTATAAGTACCAGAAAATGTAGAACAATGAAAATGATTAATTATTTTGACATGGAAAAATCTCAGAAGACAGGGCTGTTAGACTTGGAGACAAGAATAATAAGTAATTTGAAGAATTGATTTATTTCTTATTTCCAGTGAACAAATAATTAATGCAAACTTGGACTGTCTTTGTTTTCCTATCTTGAGAACAGGTGGGAATTCTTTCTTAGGCGTTCTTCAGGAGACGTAGATTTCCATTTTGATCAGACAGTTCAAGTGAAATTCTGCCTGAGATGTCCTCTGAAGTTTGTTTCCTGAGTTATGATTTGATGATATAATAGCAAATTGTTGTATGGATGAGTTCAAAAGAAGGTTTATTCACATTTCTTTCAGGGAAATGTAGATTAGTATGGTGAATTTCCAAAATTCAGGACAGGACTAGTTCTTGTAAATTTGAGAAGCATTACTCTCGAGATTCTGCTGTGATCAGTGGTATGTCCGTTAGCAATATAAACATTCTTTTTATTAGTCTGTATAATGAAGAGATGCCTGAATATAGGGTGCTGTAATACTGAAACATGTCACTGGGGAGATTTATTGCCACTAGCCTTTAAATCACCTTTGTCTGAAATTCTGAGGAGAACGGCATTGCAGTAATTTAGGGCAAATAAAGTTCTTCCCAAGGTGAAAACTTCACTGAGTTGTCACTTTTCGTCCCATTCAACATGTGATATCAGTTGAAAAATTTCAATGAGATTTAAAGAAGAAGGTGTGCTTTTATGTGATTTAGTGAATGAAAAAACTGCCTGCCTTCTCCATTGCCCTCCCCACTCCCTGGAGTCTGAGAGAAGTTTGGTCTCTTCACTTAGATCTGGGTTACTGGTGTTGACCTACCTGAAACGTCTGGAAAGGTGTTATGTGGAAGAATGCCTGTAAATAGAGTAACCGATTCTGATCTAGATCAGTATATTGCCCTTAATGGAAAAATTAAATATGTCTGCCTGAAGTTGGCATTCTTCTTTGACTGTTGGCAGCAGCCGTGTGATCTGAAGCCATGGAAGCATTTTAGGGTGCCAGAATCTGTACCGATGAGTCACGGGAAACCACTGACAAATAGTCTTGGCCTGGGTCCCTTCACCTAAAAGGGCAGCAGATAAAATACTTTCTTCCTTCCCGCCCATGGACAAGTGGGAAACCCTGTCAGTAACTCTTCATTATTTTAAGTAAATTACTGATCACTCTGTGGTAAGTCAGGTTAACAACCTAAGGGACTGTTACCTTTTTTTTTTTTATCACAAATAGACACAGTAGAATATTATGATATTTTAATAAATATCTTGATAATCAGTTAAGGGCTTGTGCATGCTCCTTGATGTAGAAGGTTAACACTCAGGAATGTACTGGTTTTGATACCCATTTTCTGAGAAGGCGTCTGTTTATTTGGCCAGGAATGACTTTGACTTTATGTTTTGTTTAGGAAATTATTAAAGCATCATGGGTACAAATCAAGACCTTCAAACAGTGGTATTCATTTGTGACACCTCTTAGAAGTTCTGTCACTGTTGAGCTATTTGTCCTTACAGTCTGCCTCTTGACTCCCACAGAGAGATTCTGGAAGTTTTCTCTGGACAGCTGCTCAGATTGCACATCCAGTCACATTGCCGCTGCCCTGGGAGCCACCCTCGGCTCCATCCTTTGGAACAGCGATACTGCATTCCTAACGATGCAGAAGACACGGCCAGTGACAGGGTGTCCCGGCTGAATCCTGAAGCCCATCCTCTGTCCTTTGTCAATGATAACAATATTGCTACTTCATGGGTTTCACACGTGTTTACCAACATTACCCAGCTTAATCAAGGAGTGACTATTTCCATAGATTTGGAAAATGGACAGTATCAGGTAATTTGAAACAATGGGATGTGTGTGAGTTTGCTGTGGTTGTTTCAAAAAAATAACCGCAAATTGAATGGCTTTAAACAACAGAAATTTATTCTCTCACAGTTCTGAAGATCAGAAATACGAAATCAAGGTGTTGACGGGGCTGTGCTCCCTCTAAAGGCCCTAGGAGAGACCCTTCCCTTGCCTTTTCCAGGTTCTGGTGGCTCCTGGCATTACTTGGTTTATGGCAGCATTACTCTCATCTCTGCCTTCATCTCTCAGGGCTTTCTTGTTTCTGTGTGTGTCAATTGTTTCTCCTCTTCCTCTCATGAGAACCAGCCTACGGGACTATCTCATCTTGAGACCCTAAATTATATCTGCAAAGACCCTATTTCCAAATAAGGTCACAGTCACAGGTACCAGGAGTTAGTACTTGAACGCATCTGTTTGGGAACACAATTCAACCTGCTATAAAGTGAAACTGAATTGCACT